ATCCGGCTCTTCGCGAAGGGCCTAGGTATTTCGCGAATATCCGGATTTCGCTACATTCCTGCGACATAGACATTCACAAGAAAGACTCTTTGAATTCTTTTTGGCCGATGTTTGGCAAAAGATACTCTTTTTGGGTTCGGTTTCTCCAGCAGGTTCTGAAGAGTGCATGTCGTAGGACTGTTCGGAAATAATGACATGAAATAAACTAACTACTTACCCTGACAATTTTTTAGCCTATACAGAAATTTCAATATGTTGTTAAGGTAGTTGAAGTATCTATCTGATAATGTAGGACAAAATTTTGTCTGCGCTAGTGTGAGCCACTCATCAAGGCTTAACTTACCTATGTGACTTCTATATGGCTTAGGCGGGAACCATACGTTACTTCCGTTACTGCGTTGTTTTTGCGCTGCGTAACGCATATTTTAGAACAATAATTGTGATCCCTGCCTTAATCTTATAAAGAGGATATGTTTAATCAAAATATCATCAAAGATGAAACCGTTGACAAAATCTTCGAGTACTTTCAGCCAAAATAGAAATGTGGCTTCTTGCATTCCTTTGCACAAATGTTTCCTTGCCTTGCTGCAGCACATGACTTCAGCACACTTGGCTCTGAAATATTGCTCCGTACGAGCACTTGTGGATTCTCACGTACTTTTACAATTAATTTTGTACAACAGGTTGTATTGCCGGGAATTACCAAGCACATGCTCTCACAATTGTTGAAACTGCGGATTCTAAATAAGATTTTGGAATGCCACTTCCTGTTTGTAGCTCTATCGTGAGCTGAAGTCTTTTTCTTTTTTTTATTATTTTTTCTTTTTATTCAATTTAAACAACGTAATGCCATTATTTAAATAGACAATACAGAATATAAGCCAAAACATTCCATGCGAAATAGCTAAAATACTTGCGCTCATCAAACTGCCTACTGTTTATGCGTGGAGAGTACTTATCACAATCACCTCAATAGGAGGCCCAATGTATGGCAGCTTGCTCTTGTTGTTGTGGCTGTTGATGATGAACAATCGCTATTTATCTAGATTCTAGGTACACTAATCAAGATGTGTTTGTTTTTTGTATGTAATCGATAAACTCCGAAACTACTGGACCGATTTTCAAAATTTTGTTCACCGTTAGCAAGTTATAGCTTTCCGAAGTAATATATGGTACTTTTTTTACGGGAAAATTCCTAATTCCCACGGAAAACGCAGCAGAAAAATTAGGAAATATACCGGATTAGCCATACCGCTTTACCGATCCTCGCGAAATTTGGCACTGATATTGCTTGCATATTTTAATCTTTAGACGGACATGGACTACTTTTTGTCAGCCCTTGAGGATCTGGAGTACCTGTCTGATGGAAGGAACCAGGAGGACAGCTGAACTATATGACATACGAAAATGGCTTCAATACAAAAGTTGTTCAACATGACGGGCTGCTTCAGCTGTCACATGGTTATCAAGGATCTGGAGTACATGATGCAGACCACCAACATCCCACCCAAACTATAAGAGATACGGTAATGGCTTTATAGTAAAAGTTGTTCAGCAAACCGACCTGCTTTTGCTGGCACATGGTCATAATGAGTCACTTCTGCTGGAATGGAGTAATCGACTTTTTACTCCGGGCAAAGATCCAATTTGTACGGGAAAACACGTACGGGATTTAAACTTTTACGAGTAACTAGCTTGATGTTACTTTTAAGGACTTTTCAGTCAAGCGCTTGTATTTTTTCCCAAAATACTCAAAACAAAAGTCCCATTGGTGTAGGCTTTTCTAACTTCGACTGTCATCATGCTACGATACCACTCAAGAGAAAACTTTATTCCCTACATTGGCTGTAAGTTGGGGCAAACTCAGCCGTTCCCGCTGTCGTTGGCGCGTGGTACTAACACTTCTAGTTGGGAACTGGCTAAATTATTCATGTGGAGTGTCATTACTGTTTCTGGCCGCGATGTCGCCAATTTACGCGACTATTAGCAGTTTTGCGACAAGTTGCAGAAGTCACTCCGGGGATCTTTTTGTTCTAACGATAATTGGCTGCAGAGGACATGCGTGGGTTTTTGTTCTTTTTTCTTTTATGGATTTTAATGGTCCAGAAATTGTAACCTTTTGAGGTCTACATTTTGTCGAGGTTCAAAAAAGAAAAAAAAGCGTATTGCATTGGAGCAGACGTCATCATGAGGGAGTATTTTTTATAACTACGTACTTACCTACACATCATCATCATTATTACCTTAAGAGCTTCGCTCTTGTTGGTAGAGTTATTTCTAATCTGCTCTTCTTTGAGCCTTCTCCTTAACTTTCTAACCTACGCAATGCGAACCATAAACAGTTTATTTGTTCAATAATGTTTTACACCTTTGATTAAGTTTACCAAAACAATAAACTGAAATTAAAACCAAAATCAAAACTCATTTCTACTGATTCAGCTTCGAATTACGTATTTAGCGACTCTATGAACAATCGCGGACCGTTAAATGAGGATATTCTAAAAGTTTATTGGGCATAGCATTGGCCTCGCCACATGGTGGCATTGTTTTTAATTAATTTGCAAACGGTCGCCAGCTGGCATCGCGTCATTAAAATAGGAACGTTGATTTCAGCTCGATTTTCAGCCTGTGTTTGTTTCCAGCCCGGGTTTGGCGGCCGCACATTCAAAACTCAAAACTTCTATAATAGCTCCCCGTTTTAAACCTCGCACAATTTAAGTGCTTCCTTTATATCCATTCGCAAACATACCCACCGTCACTGATATAGATATACCTACAGATCAGGTTGCCCACCGCATGGTTTTGCGGTGACAGAAAACCGGCTAGCAGTTGATGTTGAAATGTTCCCATGTGAGTGCTTGCTTTTACATGTGAATTCTTACAGGTACTTTCTTCAGTAACGACGGACCGGCTGAATAACACAAAATTGTACGGTGCAAGTGAGAACTATCTTTAAGTTTCTAGTCATACATCTTACTACATTAAGTGGACAAGTGCGGACTTGAAATGCAATCCTGTATTGTACCTACCCATAAGTTTATTAAAGCTGGATAAGCAGCAAATAGCTAGCAAGATTACAATAATATGTATCAGATTGTACTACGACCTGGAAATACACTATTCGATACACTGGGTAACACTATTCGAAGCTACATAAACTATCATTATCAAAGAGGTATTTTATCAGACTGTTTATTTCAGTTAGCTACTTGAATATCACGGTGAGCTCTCTGACCAATTTGGCAATGGCGACTACTTCTACTCCAAATTAAGTCAACGCTGATGCGCCCGTAGCTACTGAAGCCACACCATACATATATCATAATTATGAGTTTAATTAAATAATATTTATTTTTCTTGTAAGTAGTTCGGGTTGCTTCTAACTCATTAAACGTCTTTTTTCTAGACTCCCTTTTCAGGCTATTATTCTATAAGCTCTCAAAGACTATTATTCGAAGTCATTTTCTACTGTATTGTATTGATGTATGAGGCTCATCAAGAACAAGGAACAAATCTAAGGCTGTGAACAGGACAATTGCAGCCTCCGCCTAGTTACACCATAAGGCATTGTTTGAAAAATCAAATACTTTCCGTGCAAGTTGTCATACCTCATCTCATAGGTTTCAATCTAGAAATCCGCGCGACTGAACTAGACGTAAATGAGTTCCTGCCCTTAGATAGGCGAAGTTCTGTCTCCCCCACACTGAACTTCCGAGACACATTACGCATGAAACAATTTCTTAATGAAGCACCACATGGTTGTGTGCGACTTCCAACTTCGCAAGTCTCGACGACTTATTAAAGGCTTTTAATGAAGAAACGTTTTGCCTCTTGAAATTAGGTGCCGTGACTTTCCCCTTTTGTACATTGTTTATTGTTTGAAAGCTCATATATATCATAGGTTTTTTTTATAAAATGTGTTGTTAAATGCCCTAAACAAAACCTCTGATGGTTCCATAGGAAGAGCATCATGGTAGATACAAGTATAATAATCTTTACTAAGTATCATTAATATCCCCTAAATTAACGTGATATTAAACAAATACCATACAATTCTATGAGAGGCCAAATAGTGGCTTTTGTATTTGATAAATCTCGCGAATATAATAATACAGCTTAAATTACCTTCTCAATTTAGGTTAACAATACCCAGGTTTATAATAAAGAGATGGTTCCATAAACCAAGAAAGCTCCCTCAATACCGAAACCTCTTAAGATGACTACGATTAATCACTTCTTGCTTACATTGACTTAAGGCACAGTAAATTTTACAGGAGCAGGTAAACGGGTTTCGCAAAAAAGCTGAAACGTTTATAGTCCAAGCGAATTTAAAATATTTGTTTGATAGATATGCAGCTTTGACAGTCTGTGTTAAGTTTATCGATGCATGCTTAAATATTGGAGATTTGTTAGTTTAGCATGGTAGCGATTTAGAATGGTATATGCGTTTTAAAAATCATTTAGAAATAAAGTAGATACTCAGTCATGAACTATAAACAGGTTCACAACCAAACCCTGCAAATCCAGTCATGTATTATAGATAGATATATCATATATATCATCATAGATAGATATATCATATCCAGTCATATATCATCATAGATAGATATATCATATCCAGTCATGTATTATAGATAGATTTTAGCCTTTACACGTGTGTTAATTAAGCGTTAATCAAACGACATAAAAAAATGTGTAGATATATAATGTATTACTATCAGAAAAGCATATTTTCATTGAGAATTCTTACGAAATATTTTGCTACTGATCGTTATAGAATTGATTGTCGATCGTTGACTCTGTATTAGTATTGATGAGGATCCTCTTCCGCGTCCCCCAACTTTAAGCTTGTAGCTTCCTCTTTCGCTTCCTCTTCCTCTTATTCATAACAGATTCCTCATCAACACTACTCTATTCCACACGAAAAAGAAGAATCTATTGGGAATTTAATGCACTCACAGTGGTCCCACAAGTGAGAATAAGAAATAGAAAAATTGTCACACATCGACCGGGAATCGAACCCGGGCCGCATGGGTAAACGCCCCACCGCTCTGCCACTGAGCTATCGATGCACCGGTTGATGAATTACCGATGATAATATTTTGACTTGTAAAAAAAGAACTGCTACTTATTCCTACTGTGGTCTCCACCCGTACCTTACGCAGAACGCCAACTTTGTATTGTTAAGTTAAATTTATGCGAGTGACGCCACCAAGCGATATTAATTGCCACCTCATTTAACCAAATATACACATGCCTAATATCATATATTTAATAGGCCGCCATATATTTTAAGATGTTAGAAGATTATTACTTAGATAAACTGCTAAAGGAAAACTAAGCAGTGGTATACCTAGGTTGTAAGTATGGTATATGTATAAGTAGGTGCGTAGGCAGGTATTCAATATTATAGATTAGTAAGTGACGACCAGTCAGACTCTGGGTTCCAGAGATACACTTCGATATATAATAGCCAGCTGTGGACATTTTACGCCTTTTCAAGATAAACACCTACCATCAAAAGCTGCAGTAAATTTATGAAGTCTGTACCTACCGGTACCCTTTGTGAAAAGTCACATTAGTCTTTATCTTGCTGCTTTTCTGTGACAATCTTTCTACGTCGTACTACACAGCGCGGCCACGATCACGGATCGGGTCCAAATTTTGTAGAATAATTGTACCTAAATTGTACTATTTAGTACCTCAAGAGAAAAAAATTGTACCTCTCAATTTATTGAGATATTGATACTTTATGTGGCCGCGCCTGGAAGCATCCTTCCTGGCGCGGCCACGCTCATATCATATATCACGAATGTTTAGATATTATCGAAAGCGAGATATGCCAAAAAAATGTACCTAAATTGTACCTCCCAAATACCTAATCTCACAAATCTAGCTAAATGGATAGTCCATAAAAAATGATCACAAACTTTCCCATACACCAAATTTTCCTTTGGAAAAGCCGTAGAGCCGTGACCAGTCTAAGAGGGAGGTCAAGTTACGCTCAGGTCGCAATATTCAGACAGTACGCGACCAGCATAACTTGACCTCTAAACTCAACTCTCAACTTTTCCAAAGAAACTAGTAGTGTCGCATGCACAGTTAACGAGATAAACGAGTTTAAAGTTTGACAGCTGTCACTTAAAATGTAGATCTTGGCAAGACCTACAACTTTCCCTAAGAAACCAATAGTCTAGCACGCATAGTTTCCGATATAAACGACTTTTTAATATGAAAGCTGACACCTGTCATGTAGATCTCGTTAAGGCCTACAACTTTCCCAAAAAAACCAATAGTCTAGCACGCATAGTTTCCGATATAAACGACTTTTTAGTATGACAGCTGACACCTGTCATTTAGATCTCGTTAAGGCCTACAACTTTCCCAAAGAAACCAATAGTCTAGCACGCATAGTTTCCGATATAAACGACTTTTTAGTATGACAACTGACACCTGTCATGTAGATCTCGTTAAGACCTACAACTTTCCCAAAGAAACCAATAGTGTAGCATTCACACTTAACGAGATAAACGAGTTTAAAGTTTGACAGCTGTCACTTAAAATGTAGATCTTGGCAAGACCTACAACTTTTCTAAAGAAACTAGTAGTGTAGCATGCACAGTTCCAGAGCCACAATCAAGTTGTAAGTTTGACAGCTGTCATCCAAAATGTAGCTTTCATCATTTCCTTTAACTTCCCCTAAGAAAGTAGTACTCCAGCACGCGTAGTTTCCGAAATAATCAAGTTGTAAGTTTGACAGCTGTCATCCGAAATGTGGCTCTCATCATTTCCTAAAACTTCCCCTAAGAAATTAGAACTCCAGCACGCGTAGTTTCCGAGATAATCTACTTGTAAGTTTGACAGCTGTCATCCGAAATGTAGCTTTCATCATTTACTATAACTTCCCCTAAGAAAGTAGTACTCCAGCACGCGTAGTTTCCGAGATAGTCAAGTTGTAAGTTTGACAGCTGTCATCCGAAATGTAGCTCTCATCATTTCCTACAACTTTCCCAAGAAAGTAGTACTCCAGCACGTGTAGTTTCCGAGATAATCAAGTTGTAAGTTTGACAGCTGTCATCCGAAATGTGGCTCTCATCATTTGCTATAACTTCCCCTAAGAAAGTAGTACTCCAGCACGCGTGGTTTCTGAGATAATCAAGTTGTAAGTTGTTGTCATCAGGATCAGGAATAACGCCCGCGTCATAAGTAACGGGCAGGGGTTTTTTGAAATCGCCATTTTGTCATTTTCGACCAATGGGACCTCTACTCCAACTCATACATACTTGTTCATTGAAATCTTATTAAATAGGTCCTCGCTATCATAGTAACATGGCCAGCCTAAGCATGAGGTCAAGTTATGCTGGTCGCGTACTGTCTGAATATTGCGACCTGAGCGTAACTTGACCTCCCTCTTAGACTGGTCACGGCTCTACGACTTTTTCAAAGGAAAATTTGGTGTATGGGAAAGTTTGTGATCATTTTTTATGGACTATCCATTTAGCTAGATTTGTGAGATTAGGTATTTGGGAGGTACAATTTAGGTACATTTTTTTGGCATATCTCGCTTTCGATAATATCTAAACATTCGTGATATATGATATGAGCGTGGCCGCGCCAGGAAGGATGCTTCCAGGCGCGGCCACATAAAGTATCAATATCTCAATAAATTGAGAGGTACAATTTTTTTCTCTTGAGGTACTAAATAGTACAATTTAGGTACAATTATTCTACAAAATTTGGACCCGATCCGTGACCGTGGCCGCGCTGTGTAGTACGACATAATCTTTACGTCTGCCCCATTTTCTTAGCCTCAGTATCTTGTAATTACGACATTAATATTTAGGGAGGCCTCACAAGATGTTCTGATTTATGTTTCACAGGCGTACCTATTATCTTATATCTTGTTCATATTTCAACATGGAATTCAGTCTTTTGTATGTTAGATTAGAGTTGGTGTGCCTTTTGTTTACTCCTGTGAGTTTGCTGTATCTACGGCCGTTTACTTCTTTAGTCGATCTAGGCTATCGCCAGCACATCAACCTAATGGTAAAATAGACCAACTTATACGGATATTTCATTCAAATACTTAAAAAAACCAGTACGAGTTGATGCCTTAATTGAGTACGTTGATGCGCTGGTGGTGTACCTATCTTTGATTAGTACCACCCGTACCAAATATCCGATTAAAGATGATACTTCCATACAATCCTGAAACGCAGTATCGAAATGTTTCCGTCAATCGTTATAAATACAACTTCCAAATATGTCCGGTTGGACTAGTTGGTCCCTGGTCACATCAACCTACCCTTTTCCTTCCTCCGTCGTCACTCGGCTAACTGGCCTCATCAATCCATCACTCCTCCTAAAATGCCTAATACCCAATATTGCACTGAACTCGTATCTCTCACCCCATATGCAATTTAAATAAATACCTTAAATCCCCAAAAGTATAAACTAATAGTGGACTAGGACTTATAACTAATCGGCACTTGCTTATTTATATTCTAGAGCCTAAATCACTCAAGCTTATTTCCAAATCAAGAAAATCTACTTCAAAACACTTGACAAATCAGCTTTATCCATCTCTCCAAATTATATTTATCTTATCCATCAAAGTAAATTGAATTAATTATATTTTGTAGAAAATTTGATTTCATAAACTTCAATAAAAATCTACATAATTCAAGTAAGTCATTTTTTAAGATTAATTTGTTTATTTATTGTCTAAAAGATATTTGTTGACGTTTAAAAATGTGCGTACGTCATGTGTGAATAACGTGTGTATTGATCATATATATATGATCAATACCTATGTCAAGTCAAAGATATAGGCAATATTATGGGATACTAATTTTATTTACGTTTGAATAAGATTAGAATAAAACTTAGACGTCAATATTTCAAGAAGATATTTTGCTGTTAGGTGCATTTGGAAAATTCGCATAAACCAGAACAAATCTGTGCATAATTCGTTGAACGACTCGGTGTCCCACACGAAGAGAGAGAGATTTAGTTGTGACCTTGTGGTATTTCGTATGAATATGGAATATGACAACTATGTTTGAAGTTTAACAAACGATCCGAAGCTTCCATGGCAATGAAATTTTCACACCTTTATGTTTATTTATATTTTTAAACGAAATTAGTGTATTTTTAACGCTTATACGTGAAACTTGTCAAAAGGCTCATAAAAAGAAATCAAATGCCTAACACTAATGAAAGGTACTATGCGAGGGTCAGCGGTTGGCAGTTGGCACCTAAATCACGTTCCGCAAATTGGTACCCGATACGTGCCACACTTGCGACAACATCCAATGTAAATAGACCCTAAAAGCCAGCTAATATTGAAGCAAATGCATCCTACGAGGTTGGTGCAACAGAGAGTCAGTTCATAGCGTGATGCTGATACGAGACACGATCTTTTAAAACAACATCACAAAATATTAACTCCTTTTCATTGACAGGCTGTATCAACATAGAGTGAGATGTCTCTATAAGTATTAAGTACCTATGGTATAAATACTCCCATGATCATAAACAGCTCTCCCCAAAAAGACTCGGTGCAATAAAGTAAGCGAACTACATGCTGTGTGTTGCATTGCAACCTTTTACAAATTGCAGTTTTACTGGGATTTTACCCAGCCTAAATCAAATTCCTACGTCAAACAATCAGCATTAGCAACATAAGGTGCCTTTTCACGAATCGCAACCCTTTTCCTTGTTCATTACCAGTTAATACGCAGCATGGAACGGCGACTCCCAATGAGCCGGCGGAATCTATTATCGTCCCCATGGGCTTGTGGTTGGCAAGTTGGCACCTGAATCACGTTCCGCAAATTGATACAGGCTACGTGCCACACTTAATGTGTAGGTAGTAGCTATTGAAAATGCCGAATTGGTGATTTAAGATGTCAATGTTTTCCGGTTTATCATAAGGTTGTTAAGGATTACCAGAATATGATTATCTGCTTCGTAGCAGCTCCTAAGCTGAACTATCACTACTGAAAATTGTAGCTTGTTTCCAATGAACAAAAAGTTCACACTTCCGTCCAATTTTCAGATACATAGTTTC